ACCTCTCTCCCCACTATGCCTCTCTGCATAAAGCCCTTCTGTGACACATTTCCCCTCAGAGAGACAATGTGAAGCTCACTGAGTCCTCAGAAAGAGGAAGTATCTTATTTCCCACTGGAAGTCATCTTGAGACTGACCGTTCTCTCCCCACTAACCACCCCCCGCACTGCCCACCTTGCCCTCTGTGCCACAGCACTGTTCCCAGAGCCTGCTGTCTGCTCCCTGGGGAGCAGTCAGCTTGTCCTGCACCTGCTCGCTCCACAGAGCTTCATCAGCTCGGGCGCTCGCGGCGGTCCTGTCCCTCTGGGCACTGCTTTGGCTGCATTTCTTCAGCTTTGGTGTGTTGTGGTTTTGTTTTCTTTCACTGCAAAAAGCATTTTCAAATTTCCCTTGTGATTTCTTCACGGACCCTTTGGAGATTTAGGAAGGGGTTTAATTTCTACATATCGGCAAGTATTTGTCAGGTGCCGACCCAGTGTCCATGAGTGCTGTGCTGGGTCCTGGGGTCACATTAGGGAACAAGGTAGGCCAGGTCTGCGCTCTCAGTGAGAGCAGACAGTAAACACACAGCGAGGAGGACATCACCAGCCAGTGGCAGTGACTGGGATGTAGAGAAGAGTGGGATGGTGGCCTGGGAATGCCACCAGAAGGAGGCTCTGAGGAAGAACATTCCAGGCAGAAGGAAAGATCCATGTTGATTTTTTTTTTCCAAGATAGTAGCCAACACCCCCTCCTACCAGGTTCCTTGTGCAGACCTCCCTCATACCCAGAAGGATGTGGAATAAGAGGGAATAAGACTCCTGCCTCCACTCCCAGGACACAGCTTCTAGCTGCTCAGGCCAGTTGCTCCCTTATAGACTGTTGCCTATGACCTTGAGCAAGTCACTTGGCCCCTCTGTGCCTCTATTTTCTCACCTTTACAATGGAGAGAACAAATATCCCATCTCAGTTTTGGTGGGATTCAGTGATTTAACGGGATAATGTGCTCAGAAAGGTGGGCAGCCTGTGGAAATGCCAGCCAGCCACAGCTGTTAGTAACAGGTAATGTCCACCTTCCCACCACCCCAAGTTGCTCCCCTAAGCCCAGCATTCCTGCACTGAGTGTTTTCTCCTAACCCCTGGGGCCCGACCTAGGTTCTGCCTTTGCTCCTTCTGGAGAGAGATTAAATGGAGAAAGTATGAAGGGCATGGAATGTCAAGCCTTGTCCAAGGACAAGGACACTCAGAGCTGGAGATAAAAATACCGGTGGACAGGGGTTGGAGGAGGCACTCACCTTTTACCTGTGGGAGGAGAGAACCTGCCATGCTGACAAAGGATGAGGGTCTGTGTCTTGGGAGGCCCCTAGGTTCCTAAAGTGGGCTGGACACTGAGCCAGGCCTCAAGGGTAGGGATGATGGGCATGTAGCAGACCCCATGGGCACCTCTCTTATTGGCTCAAAGGCTGGCTGGGTCCTGAGAACTCAGAGCCACTGCAGGAGCCAGTGCTGGGGCGACTGTTCAGACAGGACAGCTGCAGTCTGGGACGTTAAGTACTCCTAGGCAGATGCTGGGAGTGCTTGCTTGAGCTCCCCCAGGTGTGTGATGTCATCAGGGCTGTGTGCAAAGCTCAGGGGACAGATGTGTTCCATTATGTGCTGTGTCAGCCTCTTCAGTCCCCCTGCAGTTCAGGACTTCCAGCCCTGTTTTAAACATGCAGAAAGTGTGGACCCCAGCAGATGGCATTAGACCCCATGTCTTCCCAGTCGCAGGGCCTGTGAGGTGCTGTCTGGATCAGGCTGTCCTCCAGAAACACCAGCACCCTTGCAAGCAGACGCTTCTTCCCACCTTGAATTCCTGGAGAGCCCCTTCCCCAGGACCGCCTCTTCCTGTTCTCTTGCCTTCTCCTGACTTCCCTTTTCTACTCCTAGAAGCAGTAGTGGTAACGACACGTGGTGATACTTTCCATTCATGCCAGCAGCACTTTACCTCGAGAGCTTCCACGTGCCAACACTGCGTCCTCGTAACAGCCCTGTGGCCTAGGGATATGCTCTTCTTCCCCCTTTGGAGATGAGGTGGTCGCTTAGTTAGAAAGTGGCAGGGCTTAGATTTGAACTTGGCATTCTCGCTCCGGAGCCCACTCTCTGAATCACTCTGACAGAGCTGCTGTTACCCTCATTTTACAGAGGCAAGCAAGTCCTGAGGGGACTGAGAACAGAAAGTGGAACCCGAGGTGACAGAGAGTCTTAGAACTGAGATCAGAGGCTCCCCCAGTGCCAGGGGAGCTAGACTGAGAAGGAGAGAATGGACTTGCAGGTGGTGAGGGGGAGGATCTGGAGATGGACTGGGAGGTATGTGAGGTCCCTGGAAAAGCTGGGGAGAGATGGAGGGAAGTGGGAAAGGGAGGGGAGGGCCGGGGCTGGTGCAGTGAGAGGGAAAGTTGGGGGACAAGAGGCTGGATACACAGCTCCCTTTGCTGGCCAGGGGCCTGCTGCCTTTCCTCAGCCCAATCCTCCTCTTTACAGGGTCTCCCTTCTCCCCATCTGCCAGAAATGGAGGCAAACCCGGCAGGCAGCAGCGCCGGGGGTGGTGGGAGCAGCGGCATCGGGGGCGAGGACGGGGTTCATTTCCAGAGCTACCCATTTGACTTCTTGGAATTCCTCAACCACCAGCGCTTCGAGCCCATGGAACTGTACGGGGAGCATGCCAAGGCCGTGGCAGCCCTGCCCTGTGCCCCCGGGCCCCTACCTCAGCCTCCGCCCCAGCCCCCACCTCCCCAATATGACTACCCACCCCAATCTACTTTCAAACCCAAGGCGGAGGCTCCTTCCTCCTCCTCCTCCTCCTCCTCCTCGTCCTCTTCCTCCTCCTCCTCGTCGTCCTCCTCCTCCTCGTCGTCCTCTTCTCAAGCCAAGAAGCCAGATCCGCCCCTGCCACCCGCTTTTGGGGCCCCTCCGCCTCCGCTCTTTGACGCTGCCTTCCCTGCCCCACAGTGGGGCATCGTTGACCTCTCGGGGCACCAGCACCTGTTTGGAAACCTGAAACGAGGAGGGCCTGCTTCTGGGCCGGGGGTAGCACCTGGGCTGGGTGCTCCAGCAGGTGCACCGGGGCCACTTCCAGCCCCCTCGCAGACCCCACCAGGACCCGCCGCAGGGGCGGCCTGCGACCCAACCAAGGATGACAAGGGCTACTTCCGGAGGCTGAAGTACCTGATGGAGAGGCGCTTCCCCTGCGGTGTGTGCCAGAAGTCCTTCAAGCAGTCCTCGCACCTGGTGCAGCACATGCTAGTCCACTCCGGGGAGAGGCCTTACGAATGCGGCGTCTGTGGCCGCACCTACAACCATGTCTCCAGCCTCATACGCCACCGCCGCTGTCACAAGGATGTGCCACCAGCTGCTGGGGGTCCACCACAGCCTGGACCCCCACTCCCTCAACTGGGTCTCCCAGTCCCCACAGCCAGTGCAGCGGCTGCTGTCCCCACCACGGTTTCCTCTGGCCCCCCAGCCACACCTTCCGCGCCTGCCACCTCTGGGGATGCCAACACCGCCCCCACTGCCCCTGCAGGCGTTGGCGTGCCCCCTCCGTCCACTGCGGGTGGTGAGGGCCCGTTTGCCTGCCCACTCTGCTGGAAGGTGTTCAAGAAGCCCAGCCACCTTCACCAGCACCAGATCATCCATACGGGCGAGAAGCCCTTCTCCTGCTCCGTGTGCAGCAAGAGCTTCAACCGGAGAGAGAGCCTCAAGCGGCACGTGAAGACACACTCCGCAGACCTCCTGCGCCTCCCCTGCGGCATTTGCGGCAAGGCCTTCCGGGATGCCTCCTACCTCCTCAAGCACCAGGCGGCCCACGCGGGGGCGGGGAGCCCTCGGCCGGTGTACCCTTGCGACCTGTGTGGCAAGTCCTACTCAGCGCCGCAGAGCCTACTTCGGCACAAGGCTGCCCATGCCCAGCCTGCGGCTTCGGAGGCATCCAAGGACGGTGCTGCCTCTGTCCCGCAGCCCCCACCCACCTTTCCCCCTGGCCCCTACCTCCTGCCCCCGGACCCACCCACCACAGACAGCGAAAAGGCAGCAGCGGCTGCAGCCGCAGTGGTATATGGCGCCGTGCCAGTCCCACTCCTGGGTGCCCATCCGCTGTTGCTTGGTGGGGCAGGGACCAGCGGGGCTGGAAGCTCTGGCACCAGTGTCCCAGGAAAGACTTTCTGCTGCGGCATCTGCGGGCGTGGCTTTGGGCGCCGGGAGACCCTGAAGCGCCATGAGCGCATTCACACTGGAGAGAAGCCCCACCAGTGCCCCGTGTGCGGGAAGAGGTTCCGCGAGTCCTTCCACCTGAGCAAGCATCACGTGGTGCACACCCGCGAGCGGCCCTACAAGTGTGAGCTCTGCGGCAAAGTCTTCGGTTACCCACAGAGCCTTACCCGTCACCGCCAGGTTCACCGGCTGCAGCTGCCCTGTGCCCTGGCCGGGGCCACTGGCCTCCCCACCACCCAGGGTGCCACAGGAGCCTGTGGGCCTGGGGCTTCCGCCGCGTCTGGGGGGCCCTCGGATGGGCTAAGCTACGCCTGCTCAGACTGCGGAGAACACTTCCCAGATCTCTTCCACGTCATGAGCCACAAGGAAGCCCACATGTCAGAGAAGCCGTACGGCTGCGATGCCTGCGGCAAGACCTTTGGCTTCATCGAAAACCTCATGTGGCACAAGCTGGTCCACCAGGCTGCCCCAGAACGCCTGCTCGCACCCACGCCGGGTGGCTCCCAACCCCCTGATGGCTCCAGCGCCACTGATGCGGCCAGCGTGCTGGACAACGGGCTGGCGGGAGAAGTAGGGGCGGCTGTGGCAGCGCTAGCAGGAGTGTCTGGGGGCGAGGACGCTGGTGGGGCTGCAGTAGCCGGGGCCGGTGGAGGTGCCAGTTCGGGTCCTGAACGCTTTAGCTGTGCCACGTGCGGCCAGAGCTTCAAGCATTTCCTGGGCCTAGTGACTCATAAGTATGTGCACCTGGTGCGGCGGACCCTGGGCTGTGGCCTCTGTGGCCAGAGCTTCGCGGGCGCCTATGACTTGCTCCTGCACCGCCGCAGCCATCGGCAGAAGCGGGGTTTCCGCTGTCCGGTGTGTGGGAAGCGCTTCTGGGAGGCAGCTTTGCTGATGCGCCACCAGCGATGCCACACAGAGCAGCGGCCCTATCGCTGTGGTGTGTGTGGCAGAGGTTTCCTGCGCTCATGGTACCTGCGGCAGCATCGCGTGGTGCACACCGGTGAGCGGGCTTTCAAATGTGGCGTGTGCGCCAAGCGCTTTGCACAATCGTCTAGTCTGGCAGAGCATCGGCGGCTGCACGCAGTGGCTCGGCCCCAGCGCTGCGGTGCCTGTGGCAAGACCTTCCGCTACCGCTCCAACCTGCTGGAGCACCAGCGGCTACACTTGGGCGAGCGCGCCTACCGCTGTGAGCACTGTGGCAAGGGCTTCTTTTACTTGAGCTCTGTGCTGCGCCACCAGCGCGCCCATGAGCCCCCGCGGCCCGAGCTACGCTGTCCCGCTTGCCTCAAGGCCTTCAAGGATCCCGGCTACTTCCGTAAGCACTTGGCGGCCCACCAGGGTGGCAGGCCCTTTCGCTGCTCCTCCTGTGGGGAGGGCTTCGCCAACACCTATGGCCTGAAGAAACACCGTCTGGTGCACAAGGCCGAGGGCCTGGGGGGCCCTGGAGCAGGGGCAGGAGCCCTGGGGAAGGACGCCTGACCCCAGAGTTTTGTCTGCCACTCCAGTCAGATGTCCCTTCTTGACTCCTCCCTCCTAGGGCTGCTGATCAGACTCTTCCCCCTCCTTGCTGTCACCTGTCCTTCTGAACTTCAGATGTTTGAGTCTCCTTCAGGGCACATGCCCTACAAATCAAGACTGAATCACTCCCATCCTGGATCTCTGGACCTCCCCTCATTCTGTCAGACACTGAACTGAACCCTCTGTCCAACCCTCTCTTGTAACCCTCACTAGCCACCCCCAGCAGCATTCTGCCCTGGGAGCTCTTTGGTGGAGATTAATCTGAACTGCCTCCCCTTTGGAATCTGGCTGGACAGCAGATATGAGCTGAGTTGGGAGGGCACAAGGGGGGGTCTGGGTGCTCTTGGATGGTGGGGTGGGGGTGGGGTGGCAGACGAAGCTTGTACAAAGCAGAGGACAATAAATCTTATCAACAGGGTGGATGAAGTTTATCTTCAGATCTCAGGGAGAGTGGGGGTTAAGTGTTGGTGAGATGCAAGGCTGAGAACTTTTGTTTCCTTGGGGATTGTGATTCCCAGGCACCCTCTGCCTCACAAGCTGTGTTTCAGCTGGTATTCACTAAGGTTTGGCCACATTCCAAGCATTGGCCCACTGGTTGGGCCAATGAAAGTGAGCAAAACAGGTAGGTTTCTCCTGTCAAGAGCTGGCTGGGGGTACAGACTGCCCTGCATGGCACTTTCAGTGTTTGCTCACTTGCCACCATTTCCTGAAGCCCGTCTTTCAGGTCCCAAGCTGGGGCACTGGGTGAGTTAGACATGGCCCTCACCCTTCAGAAGACAAGAGAACTCCTGTCAGGCATATCACAGCCTCATGTGGACTCAATTTACAGCTCACTCGTAGCACCTGCCTCTCCAGGATAATGATTTGGGGTTTCAAAAGCCCTTTCAGAGATCCATGGTGGTACATGCCTGTAATTCCAGCAACTTGGGAGTCTGAGGCAGGAGGATGACAAGTTCAAGTCTGGCCTGGGCAACTTAGTGAGACCTGTCTCAACAAAATATAAAAAGGGATGGGGATGTAGTTCAATGGTAAAGTACCTCTGGGTTTGTCAACCCCCAGTACCAAAAAACAAACAAACAAACAAAAAAAACTTATGCAACTCTCATTTTCATACATCACAGAACTGTGTGATATATGTCCTGCAGTACAAGTTTATAGTCATCCCACTTGTCAGAAGAGGAGCATGGGGTCCTGGAGAACAAAAGAGCTCCAAGGACACCTGGCAAATTCATGGTAGAATTGGGACTCATCTCAGGGTACTTTAATACTGAAACTTGAAGATGAAACAGGGGACACTGTCTGGGCAGGTCTAGTGTGACCCACAAGAAGGCAGCAACCCAGTGTGCCAAGTTCTCATGCTGCAGACCTACCATGAAACAGCCTACAGCAGAGCTCCAGGGCTCCAAGGTCAACTGGAAGTGGAAGTGTCACTGAAGACTGAGGGAGCATGGAGTAGTCACCTTACCAGACTGGGGCAAGTGTTAGAAAAGCTTCCTCGAAAGGAGGGTGAGACCTGAACAGCGGCATAAAGCAACAAGAGCTTGCCAGGTAAAAACATGGGCAAATAATCCCAGGAAGAGGATGGGGTGTATCCAACTAAATCCAGCCATTCTAGAGAATTTAAAATGTAGTATAACTGGAGGTCGGAGTGGGTGTGTGGCTGGATCCTGAAGGGGCTTGAATTCTAAATTGTACAGTTGGGAAGTTTTTTAGGCTAAAGGCTGAAAACTATCAGCAGCCAGTCTGGAAGCAATTCAAACCATTTAGTTTGTGCATTAAAAAACAAAAACTTTGAATGGTTGGGATGTAGCTCAGTGGTAGACCCCTTGGATAGCATGCTCAAGGCCCTGGGCTTGGCTTAGTTAGCAACATTGTGGAATCTAAGGATTTTATGTAAAATCCTTTGATTTTACATAATGTTAACTAATGGAACGTCTGAAAATCTGAAGAATCTATCAAACCCAATCTGCATCCCTGTTGGCACTGAGTGCCATTACCTTCTCCTGAGGTGTGAATGTAAATAAATGCTCCATTTACTCTCAATCCCACCACTCCTTGCTGAATGCCAACACTGAGCCCAAGTGTCAGTTGCCATGTTTCACCTCACAGATACTTTTGCCTTTAAATCTGGCCAAGCAGCTCTGGTAGGTATTTACATTTGTGATCCCTTCTCAAAAGTCACAAGGAGCCGTGGATTGGTGTCAAGTATACAAGTGTCTCCAGTGTTGGAGAATGGAGAAGGTAGGGCCTCAGCTGGGCTGCTGTGCAGTTATCCAGATGTGAGGTCACTGTTGTCTTGGTCTACAAGAATAGTGATGATGAAGTATTCAGATGTCAAAGACACTTAAATGTGCAACATGGGGAGACTGATAAGGGATTAGGTGACGGAGGAAGACCACAGGAACCTGTCCAGGTTCCTGAGATGGGGAGAACAAGTGTTTTCCTGGGGAAATGGGTCAGTTTTGTTAACTCATCTGCAGGCAGTCTTGTGCTGGCTGATTGGGACTGACACTAGTGGTTTATTATCTCCTGAGCATATCAGGGAGTAAGCAAGTGTGCCAGCTGCAGGATCCCTACATTATGCCAGCCTTCCTGAACCCTTCTCCCACACAGAAATAAAAGGTCTGAACAGCCAGTACCTATTCAATCATATTCTAAAGGTGAGAACACAGGCTTGGAAAGTGGTACAGTGCAACTTAAATGTTTATAGAAGACCACAACATGGCCCTGCTCCCCCACTTCCTCAAAGAAGACAACCCAAATACAAGACTGACAAAGAGAAACCCTTCATCAAGTCCTTTAATAGGAATAGACTGGAGGTTTCCCACCTCCAGCTTCCAAGTCCTCTTATTCCACAGTGCCGCCAGAAGGCCATGCTGCCATTAGCTAGTCCTTCCTTGGGACTGCCTGGGACTAGGCAATAAACTGCTTCAAATTCAGAGTGGAGGAAAGTAGAGAAGCCTGAGGCTTCTTTGCAGACATGTTGGACCACAGGCTCTAAGCCTAAAGCTTCAGAAAGGGGCCAGTAAGTGGTGGACATCTTCTGCCTGGGGGTTTGTAGGCAACTCAAGTCCAGTGCAATACAGTGAGGTAGGAAAAGATTCCACCACCATCCACCTTAGGGAGCCCCAAATAGTCCAGCACTCTGCAGAAGGCCTAGACCAGGAACAGTATGGTGGATGAGATTTTCCCACCTTCCACTTGACCCTGGCTCCCCTTTTTTAGAGTCCAGGTTCTGTTACAGGCTACGTTTTGCCCAAGGACAACCTAACAAGAATGCAAACAGGGCAGTGAAATGCTTCCCACGGTATCATGTTCACCTGGGCACACACAGGGCTGCACTACCCCTCCTGTGGCCTCTCACCTAGGTGCAGTGTGGATCTCTGGGAGTCCACAACCTTGGTACTCTCCTTCTGCTCCAACACCAGCAGCTCACTACCTCCCTGCTCTGCCCCTGTCTCTTTCTGCCCACACCCTCCCCTGCAATCTGCCTTCTACTTCCAGAATTATCACCCCCAGTCCTGCTCTCCCAGCCTACTGGTCAACTTCCACCTTCACCTTCACCATTTCCCCATGCCCCTCTTCCAGAGTGCTATCTGTCCCGCACCCACTCCCTGACCCTTCAGCCACCAGTGAGCCCAACTGGCTCCCAGAGTCTCCCAACCCAGGCCCCGGCCCATGGAAGTGGGTGCGCTGGTGCTTGCGGAAGTTGGAGGAGTTGTTGAAAGTGCGATCGCAGAGGGTGCAGCGGAAAGGGCGCTCGCCAGTGTGGATGCGGGCGTGGCCGCTGAGCACCGAGGACTGCGTGAAACCCTTGCCGCAGATGCCGCAGTGATACGGGCGCTCGCCGGTGTGCACCCTCTCGTGGTCTCGCATGTCTGAGGAGCGGCGGAACGGTTTGGCACAGAACCTGCAAGCGAAGGGCTTCCCCACCGCCGCGCCAGCAGCCGCAGCGGCCATCACCACCTCTGACCTCTCCTGCGGCACCCCTGGGCTTGGCTCTCCAGCTGCTGCGGCTTGCGGAGGCCTGCGGGAGGTGCCTGGCTCCAGCCCATGTCGGTGCTGGTGCCGGAGCAGTGGCGCTAAGGCCTTGAAGGCCCGCGGGCACAGCGGGCAGCGGTAGGGCCGCTCCCCCGTGTGTAAGCTGTAGTGAGCACGGAGGCTGGCAGGACCTGGGCAACTGTGACCACACACGTGACACCGGCTTGGGTCCCCACCCTGCCCGCCCCCATCCGCGCCTGCCAGGTGGCCATGTTCATGGAACAGCAGCTCGGAGACCAGTCGGAAGGCAGCTGGACACAAGGCACAGTGGAAAGAACCTGGCTCTGGTGGCTCTGGTACCAGGGAGGTATCTGTGACCTTCACCACCTGGATCTCGATGAGGTCACTTGCGGGTGTGGCGGGGCGGCCATCATCAGGTGCCAGGACCTGGTAGGGGGAGAAGAACAAGGAGCCTGTGGACCCTGCCTGGAGACCTCCCCAGAAGCCCCCACTTACTTAAATGTCTGCTTCACTGCAGGCCACGGCTCCCTCTCCTTCTAGGTCATTACCAAGTCCCAGGATGCCACCCCATGCCCTCAGCTCTTCCCTCTTGCCTAAAATATATCAAGGACCCAGCCACCTCTCCTCCACCCAAGCTCAAACCCCTGTCCTACTTCCATAGCTGAAAGAGCCTCCTAGAGGGAATCTGTTCCCACTTCTTCCCCTTATAATCCACCTCTCTTGAGCAGCCTGAATGGGCTCTTGAAAATGTAAATCAGATAAAGCCACTTTCCACTCAAAACCCTCCCATGGCTCCAAATGCAATTAAAACCCCCAATCCTTGCTATAGTAGCCACCCTGATCTGACTCCTGCTTATCTCTCTGACCCCAATGTAAACAGAAGCCGGCACCCAGCTGACTTCTGTCATCTAAATTTAGCTCCCCAACTCCCACTCTATCAGCTCACTTTTTATTTCCTTTATAGAATGTATCACCAAAAAAAAAAATCTCATTTATAGTCTCTCTCCTCTCATAGGATGGCAAGCTACAAGAGAACACAATCCTTGTCTGTCTTGGTCACCTCTGTTATAGACCCTGAACAAGCAGCTCAGTAAATGTTTGTTGAATTAATGAATGTCCCCAGTTACTC